AGCATTTTTTATAAAACAAGTAACTCTTTGTTTTTTTTTTTTTTTTTTTTTTTTTTTTTTTTGTCTGACAAGATGTGTTGGTAGGCATAGTGGACTTAAGTCTGGAATAATGTAACTTGATGAGGAAAGAAGAGTAAGTAGGGATGCTTGAATTGAGTCTTAATGGTAGGCAAATGAGAGTTTTCTCTAAGTCAGGTGTGTTATTCTTTTAAGGCAATGCAAAGTATCTTGCAGTTACATGGGACTGTTAGTTGGGCTAATGAAAAGCTAAGCGTGTCAGGTTCTTTGCCCTCTTCCTGCTTTTTCCTTATGCTGCTCACATGATATTGCTCTTGGGGAATTTCTAGCCAAGCAGGTTTACCATGAATAGTGTCTGATGCTGTTCAGTTTTAGACTGTAACTGCATTAATAACAGTGACCCTGCTTTGTGGAGACTTCGGTCATGACTTCTGTTGGTGCTGCTCTAGTTATGCAGAGAGTGTTTAGTTCTCACAGATTCTAAGAAATTTTGATTGAGACAGATTTGCAGCATGGTGAGTACTTACACTCAGAGTGACCATTTCTAATAGTTGTGTGTTTTCCTCTTAGCTGCTGTCTTAGGAGACTAGGGTTCTTTCTCATCAGTGAGTATGCTCCTTTTTGCTTACTCTATGAGCCTGGTCTTCTCCTGTTGTGAAGTCTCTCTGGTGACAGCCTGTTATGTGTGCCAAATGATTGCCTCTATCTCTGTCACAGTAATTACTTCAGAGCAAGAGTTGTGCGTAAGACATCACACAACATTGAACTAAGGTTGATGAGATGCAGTCACAACAGAGTGTGAAATCTGCCCTAGGCAGGTCTATAAAGAAGGCTTTGTTCTATAGGGAAATTGTGTAGACTGATGAGTTGGATAGTTTAAAGCATTTAGTGAGTCCCCATAGTTACTGCAGATCATTGAAACAGAATACAAATATAAGGCCCTTCAGGAAGGAATTCCTAATGAGTATTCAACTGTTTCACGTCCAGAAATGCCTACCTGTAGTATTCTGTGGGACTGTCACAGGGCACATTGATATTACCTGTGGCTAATTCCATCCTTTTTCTTTAGGAGATGATGAGCAAAGCGATTGGTTTTACGAAGGAGAATGTGTTCCAGGATTCACCGTCCCCAACCTTCTTCCCAAGTGGGGAGCTGACCACCGATCTGAAGTGGAGCGGATTGACTCAGGTCTGGACAAGCTCTCAGATTCCACCTTCCTTTTGCCCTCACGGCCAGCTCAGAGAGGTGAGGTCCATAAGGAATGCCATGTGTTTGAGAACTTCTGGTGTGATAGCAAAAGTAGATTCTGTTCATAGGTGCTGCAATTTAAACTGATACTGGTGATCTGTTAGGGTTTTTTTAGCAGTCCAATAAAAAATGGCTGTACCTACTAGAAAGGGTGCTAAAATACTCATAACAGTTACCCACGTTCTTGAGTCTTCTTTTTTTGAAATTGGGTTTTTATTTGGTTTGTGAATGAATTGGCATATATACCTCTTGCAGATTGAGAAACAAAAGACACAGGATCTCATTTGACCCCTAGACTACCTTTTTTTGCCTAGTGGTTTTGCCAGGAAGAAAGAATTTTCTGTATTCATCGCTCAGTTTTTCTGGGTTTGTTTTTCAGGATTTCATGCTCGCCTGAATCGCCTTCCAGGAGCTGCTGCCCGTTGTCTCCGTAAAGGTCGGAGGAGGCTTGTTGGCAAGGTATTCCCTTTTGGAGGATAATAATCGTGTATTTCCAGTGCTGATCAGTTCTGAAGTACTAAGTATTCTAAGATACCATATAAATAGTTTTGTCCAGAAAGGGGCTCCGTACATTTTTTGTTTTCGTGTATTGTTTGATTGTTTAACTGCTTTGACTGTCAGAAGTTGATTGAGTGACTAAGTGGATTTTGAGGCAGGTTTGGAGTGGCAAATACAGTTGATCAGTGCTAAAAACAGTATGAAAGGAGGTCTGAAGTTGAATGGCAGCATAAAAATCAAGATTTAGGCAGAAAGTAGGGGAAAATTATGATGGCATGAGACTTAACGCATGCTTATAATCTGAGGCTTCAAGGGCGAAGAGGTGACTCAAAGGTGAAGGAAGACCAGGTTTTAGATGGGGAATCAAACTGATATGAATGGCAGCAAAAGAAGGTGGTTTAAGCAGTCGCATTTTTAGCAGGGAAACAGAAGAATACGCGGGTATATGCATTAATGCAGACAACATTACCCAAAGGCATTGACTAAGTTTATTATATGTAAAGCAAACAACAGACAAAATATTAGTCCTGTTTCTAAAGGAATAAGCAAAACTTTGCAGATACCAGTCTAAAATAGGGAGGGATACACCTAGGCAGGTCTGGATCTTGGAGTGTTGATTTCTGGTACCTGTTGTAAAAGATGTTTCTGAGAGGGAAGGTCTTGGCTGTGTTTGGCTTTACTTTTATGGGATGTGCTGTGTGCTTTTTGAAAATAGTGGCATATATTCTGAGCTGACTGGCTTCAGAGAGGCTGTTAGCAAGGTATGTTAGGCCTGGAGTCTAGAAGGGTGCGACTTCTTAATTAAGTTCAGTCACACTTGAAAGATCCTTGTTTGCCCCTTCTTTCTTCTACTCACCTTGTTTAGTTGTAACCAGCGATTAAAATGTGGAGCCTCAGCTGGCAAGAGACTAGCTTTGGGTAGGGTTCCTCAGGCCACCTGCAAGTGGCTGGGCCTGTCAACAGCACCTCTGATGATCCAAATGAGAAGGATAATATTTACTTGTTTAATTCATCTTCATCGCCTTAAAGGGATCTTTGTCATTTGCAGCGGAGGTCACTGCTCCCCCTTCCCCTTCTCCCTCCAAATTGTAATCATAAATAATGAGTTTCATTCAGAGCTCCCCGCCAGCGAGCTGCTAATTACCAAAAGTACGGCTTGTAATTTACACAGTAATAAACCGTAAATTTAAACGTTACAGCACTCCGAGTTAATAATTTTCATGCTGTAAGAAACAGCCCATCTTTCACTCCTGCTGCTCCCCCCAAACTTTGAGTGTGTTTTGCTTATGTATCTGTCACAAACTATGAAGAATCTTACCTGTGAACGCCTCTTACCCTTATCTTCAGACCATTATTGCAAAGTCCGTTTCTTCCTTCGAGGTAGTTGCTATGCATGTATGAACAGCTTGTGCTTCAGGCTGTGTGTGTACACGTAGTCCAGCATCAAGGACATACACAAGGCAGTATCTCCCAGGGAGAAATGTGCTCCCTGAGCAAGTGCTCTCCTAGGGTGTGCCTTTTCTTTAACTGCTATGGGTCTTGCTGTTGAATTACTGCTTTCAAAAAAGGCAAAAGCTTGTTGCATACTTGTTGATTCATTCACCTGTGTTCGGTGAATCCCCACTGCTAGTGGGACAGTATAATGTCCTGTCTCTCAGCCTGTTTCTGCCCCAGCTAATCCCAGCAATGTGGAAATAAGCTCTTCTCAGCCATTTCCCCTGTTCTTAACTGCATCCTCTTGTGATGTATTTTGTACTGGTCCAGTCCTTGGTGAGCCCCTGTGCAGCAAATATTATCACTAAAATAGTAAATACTAGATTTTTGGTTGTTCTAATTAGATAAGTCAGCTCAGTTTTGGTTCTGAAAGAAGAGGGTAAGTATGTTTAACTGAGAGTGGGTGGGAAAGGAATAATGTGGCTCAGGGGAGTAAGATCTGTTCTTATTGGCAGCAGCAAACTATTGTGTCTGCTCACTGTGTGAGAGTCTGCAACCTTTTACCTATCTTTGTGTTTCAGGAGACCTCCATAAGCACTTTGGGCACCGAGAGACTAGGTCATATTGTTAGTGATCCACGCCAGAAAGAGTAAGATCCTTAACAGCTGTGGAGAACTTTGGGAGGGGATGAAGAACTATAGGGTCCTCTTTCCTCCTGGGACTGAAAGGAATGAGGAGCTGGGTGGTAACATAAGCATGCAGTAACCTGTGGAATGGGAGACAGTCCTCTACTGATCGCTCCTCTGTTTTCTTATTTGTAATTGCTGACTTCCCTTTTGTTTATAAGGCTGCCCCAGTGTGTGGACACTGCTCAAATGCCGTTTTGGTTACAGTCAGCTTTATCTTTCCCCCTCCCTTGTAGTGTGCTATTTCAATAACTTCAGATCTTCTGCACAGTACAAGAAGACTGAGCCTTTTATGTTAGTTATTTAAAAGGTTCTGTGTGAAGTTATGCTATGGGCACATACTCAGACTGCGGAAATGATGCTGACAAGGCAGCTGCGAAATTGCTTTCTCTTTTTTTGGTGGTCTGTCTCCTTCTCCAATTAGTATATTTAAATTGTAGTCGGCACCAGGAATAGTCGTGTTGCCTATTTTTTGTCATCCTGCTAATACTATTCTTGTTGGGCAACAGATGGGTAAGAATGGCACCTCTTGACTATAGTGCAGTGGGTCCAGCCTTCACCAGCTGTTTGTATCCAGTTTTTTTTCCTTAGATCTGAAATTTGTTGCTTTTAGTGTGACTCCTGCTGATGTCTAATCTTTCTTCTTCTCCCTCCATCTTTTTTCGTCCCTTCTCTCCTTACCCTCAACCCTCCCTTCCCCACCCCCCCCCGGCTTTGTTCACTCCTTCCTTGGCATTCCTCCCACCTCTTCTTCCAACTCTGCCTCCTTGCAGTTTTTGGTTACCCTCCATGGGGAAGAGAGATCGCAACCAGGTAAGCTGACTCTGCTCTACCTTTTTATTTTCTTGATTTTCTTCTCTCTAGAAAGAACAAAGTGCTGGCTTCTGATTTCCCACACACTGTGGCCAGTGCACATGAGGTAAGGTAGCCCTGTCCCTTCTTATATTGGTAACTGATGTCGTCCAGTCTTTGCACACAACCCATGCCTCAGCATTATATTGTCTATTTAAACTGAATTGCTCAGGAACTCCTTTTGTTTATCTCCCTGCTTCAGGTTAGTGTATGCCTTCCTCTCTGACAGTGAGTGAGAGAGAAAATGCCTCTTGGCAGGAGGAATTTTGACCTCTCCAAATTCCATAGGAATTGGACATTTTTTCTCTTTTTAAATGCTTTGTTTTGTCTTGTCTGGCTTACACTTCTACCTGATAGTCTTATCAACAGAGAAAGTAAAAAATTGGTGAGCTGATTGTGAGCAGCAGTTGTAAAAGGAAAATCTAAGAGGTGATGAGCAAGAGAAATAGGCATTCTTTTAACTGAAATTCTTGTGTGTACATTTTTATAATTTCCAGTAAGTCTTTCGTAGCTTCAGTATTAAGAAGCTTTTGTACTTGAGATATAAGAGCTTGGGTTTTTGATAGCAGAAAGCCAAAAGGGTCTTCCTTTTGAGCAGTCATTCCTAGCCACACACACTCTCTTCTATTGCTTTGCAAGTTGTTTTTTGGTTGGTGAGCAGTAGGGTTGAGATTTATTTTACCCTTCAGGTGACTAAAAATACATATATGGCAAGAAGAAGTTTTCAGGCCTTTGTGCAATTGTGTAGTTTCCCTTAAGGAGAGCATTTCACATACCACTTTTATATTGCTAAAGATGAGAATGATAACCACATAAGCTTTAAAATGACAAAAAATTATTACTTTTGTTTTTCTCAAATGAGCTTGAATCAGCTACCCAAGGTTACTGTTGATTCTCCCCTACTGTGCAGCTGCAGTATTACTTCACTGACAGTAGCAGTTCACATTAAGGAGAAGCTCCCTGACAGTAGCAGCTTTGTGGTGCACAGTGCCTGTTCTTTCCCAGAAAGGCTGAAGTCAGAGGCCTACTAGTGAGTTTTAGAGTTGCAGATAACTTTTAAGATAAGTCCTACTGTGCTTTATTAATTTGTCCTTATTTAAAAATGCATCAGTAACCCAAGTAATACAAGACTGGTATAGCACTTTGCAAAGCAGACAGAAAGGAATTTCCTGCTTGTAGTGTGAATTATAAATAAAGATGAGATGCTGAGTGGAAGTGTAATGCAGGTACCCCAGATAAACTACAAGTCTACAAGTCTTCTGTTTGCATGTTGAACAAAGTTTGCTCCATGCGTTGATTGACTAGATTATTCCATTTCTGTCATGACCTTTAAAAATATCTTGAGTTGTGTCTTCTACAAGAAGCTGTCTTGCACAGGTGTGATGCCTTCAGGATTTGTCTAGTGTGTGTCCAACAAAGGATCTAAGATGAGCGTGATCATGCAGTGTTCCTGAAGTTTATTTTAAGCAGTTTGCAAAGAAAGCTTGTGAGGTGGGTTGGGAGTGGGAGAAGCAACTCAGTTACTGTGCAATGATTTGGCACCTCATTGTGAATTAACCCTCGTGGGCCCAAGTCTTCCAGAGGTTTGTCTCAGTGATATGTGGGACCACAGAGGATACTGCAACTGGGAATTTCTGTGCTCTCACCAATCGTAACAGTGAATTTTCTCTTTACGTTGTGGAGATAGACAAAAGGCTTCCCAAAAGTGAGTTGGACATTTTGCTCATGGCATGCAGCAGTAGAGCTCTTTGAGTATGCTGTTAACCAACCAACATTTGTAATAATGAAAGTTGAAAGAAGAGTGTGTTTATAAGGCTGTCTATTGTGAGAAGATGGTTATGTGATTTGCTGTTGCACCCTCTGCTAGCCTTTTATCTGAAGTGAGAGTCACTTCTCACCTAGTCTCACCCTGTGATGTGTTGGAAAGGTCTCTTTATGAACAACTATGGATCTGAGCAGCTGTATCTGGAGACTATTTCTTTTAACACTTTGCTTAAATGCAATCTCTTGACTTTCCAGTTCAATCCATTATCTCCTCTGTACTCTCTGGATGTTCTTGCTGATGCTTCCCACCGAAGATGCTCACCAGCACACTGCACTGCCAGGTAACGCCCTTGCTCTGCTCTGTTGGGGTTGTCTCACTTCCTTCCCATGGGTTCTCTTCAGTTGTATTGTGTGGTCTGAACAACAGCCATAGATCTGGAAGCTGGCACACTTTGCCCTAGGAGGCCTGTGTTCAAATTTAACATAAAGCATACAGGTGCAGGTTGAGAGTCTCATACACAAAGTGCTTAGAGCATATAAACCATTGTATGACAGACTGGAAGAACACACTGTGCTTTTAGAAATAAATGTGATCTCTTCTGGATTGTGCAGAGACTTGCTGCAAGTCCGTTGTGTAGGTGCAAATGGACATAGTGTTGTTGTCCACTATTAATGTCAGAAAAAGATGAGAGGGTAAAGTGCTGACAAGCTTGTGTGGGTGACATGCTGAGGCATTTTGGTGTCCTGGATGCCTAAAATAGACCCTCTGAACAGATTCAGAACTCACCTGAGGTGACCTCTAATGGCTTGATATTTCTCCCCATTGGTATAGCTGGAATTTAGATTTGGTCTGGCCAAATGTTGGGTATATTTGAGTCTGCATAGTTGGAGTTAATACACCATTCTTGCGCCTTCTGCTGACTAATCCTAAATTAAATTCAAGTGTTGGCCTTGGAGGTGACTCCTGTTCTTGTGCTGCAGGTGATTATCTAAAGGTAAGGTGCCCTTGAGCTCTTTGCCTGTGCAAGGAGACAAATTCTGCTTATGTGTTTGTACGAAGGACCAAATCTGAAAGAAATGTCTGGACTTTCAGCTTTATGGTTTTCTTTCCCTTGTTAATTAGCAAATAGAGCATGAAAAATGTACTGAGGTTGTATGTGTCTGAACGAAAGCTTGGCACCCACCCAGCAAAACCTCTCCTCCCACTGGTTTCTGCAGGGAATTTCGTGATGTCGCACCATGACCTCATGCTGCTGTAGCCAGCATGTTAAACTGGAAAGGGGGAGGGAGGAAGGAATCAGCTCTTAAACATTCAACTGGATGAGAGTAAAAAGAATTCTGAAGATTGTACATCAGCAAATTGTTTCCTTTCTGTGCTTTTGCCCCAGTCTGGGGTATTTTGTGCCCATGAAGCAAAACAATTGATGGTCTCTTAATTTACAGTGAGGATAACCTTCCTTGTGCCTTGAGTGTTCTACTCAGCACTCTGCAGAAATTTGTCTTTCAAAAAGGAGAGCTAGACAAATCTTTCTCACAAATTACAACAGGGCAAAATCTCTAGGATGATCAGTGAAGGCCATTTCCTAAACTACTGGTTATGGCAAGAGATTTCTAAATCTGGAGGGATAACTTTTACATGATTTTGTGAATATGTAATCTAGTTAACCAATCCATATGTATGCTTAGTTCCTTTCTCTAATGAATGAGTGACTGGTGTCCTGACAAACATAATCCCCACTGAATTCTTACTGAATATTGGCAGAGGGGTTGTCCCATCCCAGAAGTAGGTTTTAAGTGCCTGTAGTTTGAGGAAGTAGTTCTATTTTAGTGTGAAATGTGCTCAAGAATATTTACAGGAGAAAAAAATATGGAAAGAATGAATGTGTTACGTGACCTCATGTATGTGGCAAGAATTGAAGGTGCTTGCTTTATGCAAAGTTGCTTCAAGGTCATTGAAGGAAATTGTTCCGTCACAGAAGCATTTTCTTGACAAAAGTTGTTCTTGAGCATAGATATTAGAGGAGGTTTAGGTGGTCTCTGTAAACACTGTTCAGCCATTGCTGTAGTTAACAACTTCCTCTTTCACCATGAATAGAGTCAGTTGCAGCAGTTTGTGTTTTAGCAGGCTCCAAACTGCTTGCATCCCACCTTGGAGAAACTCTACTCAGAAATTTGTCGAAATGGTATGTTGAAGTGAAGGAAGATAATCCCCTGAGAATGATAGGACATGTATTAGAGAAGAAACTGTGCTGATGTTATAGACATGGAATTTCTTCAGCTTTATGTGCACTGTGCCATGCAACATTGCCTCTCTCTGTTTAGTTTCTGTTATCACGAATGTGTCCAATGCAGTATAGTTACCAGGTGGATTCTTTCCTCTCCCATGGAAATGTTTTCTTTGTCTCAGTCATGGATTTTGGTGCAGATCATTTGGAAGTGCAGTTCTCTGGAAAACTGCTAACCCAGTGTGTTGTTGAAGCAGAGCTGAAAGCCAGGATACTGAGCACAGTTGGGGGTGTTCAAGAAAGACTTTGCAGTGTCAAGGAGGAGGTTTGGTGTGCAGGGTTCCTTGGGAAGTCTTATTTGAAAGGCTGTATAAATTTTACACTAGCAAGATTATCTTTCTTGCTTTACGTCTGTGATGAGAAGAGATTTCATTCAAAGTGTATGCACAGCACTGGGGATTTCACACCCATCATTAGAAGCAGTTTTGTGTGTGTGGTGACTGTTATCATTAGTGGTATAATTTTATTTTGTGAAGCGATGAGAGTTTCCTGCTTTCTTGCAGTCCTCCCGAGGGACAGCTGGTGTATTAATTTGCTGCATTGCCTCCTGGCTGTTCCCAGGCTGTTTTTCCTCTTCATCATGGAATTTTTAATGGCCCTGCTGCCTCTCGGGAGGCATGCAAGGAAGAGTACCTCAGGGATCTCTTCCTTTTTTCACATGCCTATAATTACTCTCCTTTAAGAGCACAAAACGTTTGCTAATCATATCTTGTCTGCTAAGGTTTCAGCTTGGTGATGCAGGCTGTTAAAAGCCAGCAAGTAGAGACTTGCATGGACAGCCCAAGTGATCCTTCCCCTCTTTCCTTCCTGCCCGTTTGCCTTTCTGGGAGAAAGAAGTGATCTGAACAGAATTTTCTTCTTGAACTCCTTCTGCTTTAAGAGGATTTTGTACAGGCTCAAGGCTCTTATTAGATTTTGGTTATTCAATGGCTCCATCAGTGGGAAGATGTTGTAAGTTGCTGGTTGGTGCAGTGTTACTCCATTGAGGCAGCGTAAGAGTTTCAGAAGAGTGTAGAGCCAATGTTCCCTTCAATTTGAGTTTGAATAGCAGGTGGAATAAAAGAGGAAGGTAGAAGAAAAATTGTCCTTAATGCCTTTTATTATTTGCCTAGCCTTGAAAATAGGATTATGGGTGAAAAACTCAATTAAATGTTCCCACTGGAGGTCATAGGAAAAGTGGATCTCAGATGGCAAGTAGATGTTAAAGGTGTAGATTTGAAGAACTGTGTTAGAGACCTCTAAACAGTACAGAAAAATCAAAGAAAATCACTTTGCATCTAGTCTCAGTTAATATTAACCATAAGCCTAGAGTTTAATTTGGTTTAGAAGCTTGCCTGTGATCTTGCCTGGAACACAGGATAAAGATCTAACGGGTTGAATGTTCATCTCCTAGTAAACTGCCAGTTCTGCCCTACCCTGGCTTTGATAGTGCTTTTAGAGTGAAAAGGCTTGAATATCTAGTTCTAGTTCAAGCTCTGGAAATATGCTCATCAAAGTAAATCTTGTTCTTCTGTATCTGTGCAGAAATCTTGACATTTTTGTTTCTTTCTTAAGCACATAGAAGTGTAGGGGTTGTCTGCAATGTCAAGCCTTTCCTGAGGCAGCTGAGAAGTGAATGGTTGTTGACAATTTCATACTGTCCATTGACCAGGACAGTATCCATTTCATTCCATGCAACCTGTCCACACATCTTCATTTTCCTGGAATTGTCTTAATGTGAAAATGTCTTCTGTAAACTGTTTAGGCGTCTTTCTCCCTTGTTTTTTTTTAAACTCTTTTTCCATTTAGCTGCAGCACTTTCATGTATTTCTTTACTAAAGCCTGGCTAATACTGCAGTTATGGATGTAACTGAATTCTTCTGACAGGCACGCAGTGAACAACAGCTATCAACCTAGTGTCCCATGCAGTTGTCTGAGGCCTGATGCTCCCATTTTGTCGAATCCAAATTCTGTGGAATGAAAAAAATTCCCCTTGGCTTCAAAGTTATGTTTACTTGCTATTGCTTTTTTCACCTATAAAGCAAGTTGCCATCAAATCTGTAAACTTAGTAGGACTGGCAAATACTAGGACTCTTTCTGGCACAGATATCCTATGATTCAGTATGAAATTAAACAATGCAATATATGGGATCTCATCATCTCTGCTTAGAATGCTTACCTGGAAAACAAGAAGAAAATGTGTTCACTTGCATTTGCCCCACAAAGACTTTTAGGGATGAAATTGCCATGTTGTTAAGAATGCTTACTTGCAGAACAGACTGCTGCTACAGATCTGTGGGATTTGGATGATTTAAGAAGTGACCTGACATGTTAGTGTTTTTGGAATCTGAAAATGTATTCTTGAAGGTCTCCCATGAGGCTCTGCAGAGCAGTGGGGACTCCGTTATGCACAGGAAATACCTGCAGTGTGATATGATAGCAAGAACCACTTGCGTACATGGACGCTTTGCTTGCAAATTGGATGAAGAATTTGTATTGTTTTACACCTGTTATGTGCAGATCAGACTTTGGTGCCCAGCTGGCTCTGTAGTCGTAGGAGGACGAACTCTGCTTTTGCTATTAAATTGGTGAAGCCACCATCGACTGCCTCAGGTAACGCTCCAGGGGTTAGAGAGAGAGCCTTTTATTTGGCCTGTGTTTGCTGGGATATAGCATCACAACAGCAGCAGCTGAGTTGTATGGAGTTTTAGTAGCAGTATCTGTGTTAGATGGCTGTCTCTGCTGAGCAGTTACTTTAACATGAGGATAATGCATCCCTTGTTTGTATGACAGTAGATTAATGGCTGGCTTGCGCTACATAATCCAAGTGCTTTGCTTCCTCTAAGGATAGAGTTAGGATAAAGATTGTGAGCAGAGAAGCTGGAGGATATGAAATTACTGAGAGGCATACACTCCCATGTGTGTCATGTGTCTCCTGCCTCTGAGAAAGCCACAACTGTCACAGTTAGCTCTGTAGGGCCTTTTCAGAGACCTCCAATTGTGAGATTCGGGGGTTTTTAATCTCAAATTTTGAGAGAGTGGACATGGTTTTACAATCTAGACTTTTCTTTACAGATAGTGAAGGTTTCAGGAACCTGATGCTGATCAGTAAGGTTCTCTGTATTGTCTCCTACAGATGATATTGCCAGTCCTGGTTTTCTGTTGAAAGCCTGTGGTATTTGTACAATAGTGGCAAGCTGCTGTGACCCTGTATTCCAGCACATGCTCACCTTGAACTGTAGGAGTGAGATAGAAGTCCAGTGTATGCAATTACAGTTCATTTGGGGAAAAAAAAGTCATAGAAAAAAAAAAAAATGCAAGGATTACTTCTGATACATTAGAGACAGCAGTGAATCTCAGCTATGTAGCAAAGCCCACTTTTTCTCTACTGTGATCTGTGTGCAGAATTAGGTACCATTAAGTATTATGTTAAGAGCAAGAGACAAATCCATATTTCCTGGATAATTCCATTATCTTATGCTTAAAAAAAAGTATAAAAAAATTAATAACTATCAGAAAGACACGATAGACTTTTTTCCTATAAACCCATTTTTTCTATAAGTATGTAATTTTTCATTCACCAGCTCCTGGCAGCGAGAGGCTGTAGTGTGAGCTGAATATATTGCAGCCATCAGCATAGTTGCACTTTGGATCCTGCTTTGTCTCTCCAGGTGTGTTTTACTTTTTCTCTTCACAGGTTAGAATTTCAGTCCTCTCTAGATTGTGATGTAAATTTTAACAGTACACTCTGATCATCCAGGAGTTCCAGCTGTGACTGAGCACCGTGGTGACTTCGGGTTTTTTTTAAGATCAACAAGCCATAGTCCAAAAGTAACCAGGCAGTTATTTTCTCATTACTGTTTGTGCAACATTGAAGAAAGCCTAGCAGAAGAGATAGAAAGCCAGTAAGGACAAAGTACCATCCTAGTTTCTCTGTTTAGGCCCAGATCTTTCATTCCACAAAGCTCTGTGCCTCAGACTTCTTCACAGAGGGACTTGTGACAACGCATGGATGTGCATTTTCTGTCAGCCTTTTCTCTCAGCCCTGTTCTGTTGTACTTGGAAGTAGTTTTTAAACTGTTCAGAAGAGTGGTTAAAATTCAGCTTTGGCAGAAAAACTAATTTGTTGTTGCAGCCTGTCAGTGAAACTTTCAGAATTTATAGTTCAGCCTGTCCACTGCAATGTTGTGTGCTGCGCATACCCATGACCTGACTTTCCTGGTAGTGGTATTTCTAGGAGTCTGCTGTTAAGCTGGGATTCACAAACTGTTCTCTTACGAAAATAGCACCTGTATTATGTGGGGTAGTGACTAGAAATTTAGATTTTAAAGTGTGGTATCTACCAAAAAATGCATACTTCATAAATTATACCTCAGACACCCTTTCTGTCTTAATGAGGACTATCATCCCTGCATGCATTCTTCTGCTTCTCTTCCCAAGGTACCTAGCACCTGGAGATTCCCTGTATGCAGATTTATGGTGCCTGTAAAGTGCACCAGCCACTTGAAACTGACACTTTTACCACCAGGTCAGTCAGAACCAGTGAATAATCGATAGGTTCCTGATTTACTAACTGAAGTGTGGGAAATCAATAAGGGATAAACCTGAATGAAAAACATGTTACAGAGACAATTTATGACCTCTGAGCCTTTATGTGTTAGAGGCAGGGCTGCTAGATGCAGCATCCTTGCTGTTAGTTCCAGCTGGAGTACGATTTGCCTTTACTTTCACTACAAGAAGGGATTCTGAGATTCTCATATTGTAATTTATTATTTTTTTTTTTGAGGTAAAGGTAGATGTGGTTTGAGCATGGACTTGAGAGCTAGGAACACTTATACAAAATCTAGCTGCAACATTTGTGAACTGAGAACAAATTGCAGCAAGACTCTTGGAAATGATAGTGCATACTTCTCTCCTAGTCTGTAGTGATTCTCCTCCAAGGATCTGCTGGCTAATATTGTTGCAGGTTCATAAAATTAAAAAGGGAACCTTATTGTTACTATGTGATAAAATGAGTTGGATTATTATATATAATTATGTAGTCATCTAGGTAGTAATCTGATACTGTGTCACTGATGCAAAATAAAAAACCTGAAGTTCCACTTGACTGAATTGTTTGAGACTATCCTTTTCTTGAGCTGTGTGTGTCTGGATGTTTCAGAATTCATGGTAGAACTGTTGCTAAAATACCATGTAGCCATATCATAATCACGTACAAAAGCAGTTTTTAGCATATGTGAAGTCACCTGTAGATTAGTCACTTATGTGTACAAACACCAAATTCCAAGATACAGAGTATAGGTGTGCTGATATTTTTGAAAGCCTTTAATTCATGTTTTCAGGAGAATTCTGAGTCAGGTTATATTAATAGCTGTTCCCAGATAGGAAAATTTGTCTATCAGTGAAACTTAGCACAATTTAAAATTTTTTAAAACTGTTCTTTAATGTCAGGTATAGATGACAGATCTTGCGGACTTCTTGTAGGGCTTTTGAATTTTAGTTGAGAAGACAGAAAGGTAGATTTTTCTTTCTTATTTTGAGGTTGTGCATTTGTTACAGGTAAGTAGGTAGACCCAGCAGCATTCAAACAATTTGTAGTCTTGGTTGGTATAGGAAATTTTTTGTGCTCCCTACACTGTTCTGTATAGCTATAACAGCACACTTTGCTTTTGCATAGATTCAGTGCCTAAAATTGCATATATATTGTAATTATGCTGCTTATTTTTGATAGATTTTGGCATGAAAATATGAAGCCAGGAACTTTTCCTTTTGTCATCTGTAGAATATTTCAGAACTCAATAAACTTGTTTGTTAAACTTTCAGGAATTTTTAAAAATCAAAATAACAGGCTCTAAAGACACAGCTTTTCATCCTTTAAACATAATAATTTATATGGTTCCAATCGTTACACCACGTAAACGTCTCACAATCTTTGATTGTATTTGCAATGTAATTCTGCATTTTGTACATCAGATCTGATGCAGAGTGACCAAAGAACTTGGCAGAGAAACATCTCAGACAAAGCAGAGATTTTGACCCAATGTCATTGCTAAATTATGTATTTGTTTTCAATATAGTTTGTATTTGAGCAAGTTCTCTGGTCTGCTGACTTCTCTTTTTGGAATTAAATTTCACTTCTCCCTATCTAGAACTTGGAGGAGTGCTCAGTTTATGTCAGTCCCAATATACCAGTGGTTAAACTGAAGTGGTTATCAGCAGGCTTCAGACTCAACAGTTGATATGACCAGGACAGATTATGCCTTTCAGCCAGTTTACAGGTTTAGCAAGGCTGTATTACCATAAGCCAGATTCAGCTGTTTTCACAGCACTTTGAAAAGGAAATAATAATTTTGAAAATGCATGAGACAATTCTGCATTCCTAACTTTATGAACTTACTACTACTGTAGTGGAAACAATATGCATGGACATTTGGAATATAGGTACATTCAGTACTAAACAGGTTGCAGAAAAATTTCTGAATAAGGGAGCCAATAGCATGCAATCTTGCAGACATTTGTTGTGCTTTATAGAAGTAATGGTAGGACATGTTTTGTGTCACTGCATAATCACATCTTTACTTATGCAAGGAGTTATTTTCAAGTTAATACAAAACAAGATCCTTTAAAGACTAAGAAATAATTATTATGAGTGATTTATATGTGTGAGCTCTAAAAAAATGGGAGCATAATGGTATATTGACAAAAAATGCGAGCAAAACTTCCCTCAGAAGCATTTGATTTGTGCTGCCTACTAGTTAAGAAGCTAAGAGGAAGGTGGGAGTTGGAGGGTGATTAGCAAAAGTCTTACAGGAAGAATATACCGGAATAGAGTTCAATTTGTTTTAATTTCTCTGTAGGCAAGCAAATGTACACCTGGGACCACCATGTTCAAGGGACATCAAGAGGAAACGAAAGCCAGCTGCAGCCTCCATGTCCAGCCCATCAGGTAACTTTGATGTATCTGTGTGCCACCTTTTCAAAGTAATGTCCCTCTTCAGCAAAGTGCCAGAGTCACAATGGTAAAAAAACAGCATTACCTGGATTTGAAACTAATTAAATGTGTCTGAGAATGGCTGTGGGTGAGAGAGAATATTGTGTGGTTATCACAGAATCAAATGCTACCTACTAAAGAAATCTTTGTTGATGCAGCTATGGTAAGTTTATGTAATTTCCAGTGCTTCACTATGCAGAGGGTAATAATCTGTTTCTTCGTAAGGTGTTATTTCAACTGTCTCTAAATTATACAATGCATGGTAATAAGGTGATCAGTATAAACACTGTGTTCCTTCAGCGTTGGGCTGACATTAGCTGATGGCTCTGATGCCCTTTTTCAGGGTGTTTCTAGACACTTCCACAGGAGCAGAAATCTAGCAATTTCTCCATCATCTCCTGTTCCCTGGGAGTTGTCTTACTCTTGTGGATGAAAACAGTTTTTTTTTCTTTCTTGCTCTGGGGATGTAGTGATTAAAATCCTGGTTTATTTTCATGTGGCATATTTCTGCAAAATATATTGATTACTCATCAGAATCTGAAAATGGTTTAATATGGAGAAAACAGAGGGGTTTAGGAGACTTCTTTCTGGCCTCTTACCCTACCTTCTCTTGAAATCTTTTGCTTACTACCAAGTGACCCATGTTCTTCCAACTAGCTTATTAAAAAATGGCCACTGTAATCCAGTAACAAGGCAGTGCGTAAACTGATGGAAAAAATGTTGATGTGAAAGCAGTGGGGAAGGCCAAAGGAACTGATGATGAATAGGAATAGTGGGTAGACAGTAGAAGTAGGGAAGAAAGCTGTGCTGGCTCTCTAGGCCACAGATCTGGATTACAGATTGTCTGAAAAGCTCCGTATTAAAAAGGGAAAAAAGCCACATTAAATTAATAATATCTTGCTCAGCAAGAGAGTAATCTGTTATTGACTGTTTATTTGGGATGTTCTTTTCTGGCTTTTGAATATTCCTTGATTGGATATTAAGACTTCTGTAGTGAAAGGATTAGTAAAATCATATGTCTGCAGCCGCAGAATTACAGTTCTGAGATACTAGATTTTCTTGGTATAAATGCTAGTGTCTCACAGTCCCCTGTTACCTGTGCATTTATTTGTTGTTCAGAGTGTATTCTGTACTGCATTGCTGGTCACTTTTTATGGTGAGAGCTGCTATTTCTGTGCCTACTCGTAACAAAATATATTGTAAATTGTACTTTACCAACTAGGCAAATTGTATAATGAGCACTTTTTGATGAGTTGAATCTGCATTTGGAGTGGAACTCTCAGTACTGGAAAAGAGCACAGAGGTTTGAAAGGTGTTTGGGATTTTTTAGGGATGAGGGAGAGAAAATTAGATTATGTATTACAAAATAAGGAAGGAGAGTATGGTTACCAGAATCTGGACATGATGTTTGTACTGATCATCAAGAGGGAAGTGCTGCAAGGTCTTTAAGGGTCAGAAATGGTAAAGATACTGTCCTTAGACCCTATTTAGAATTGTGCCCAGCAAAATTAACAGACATGGGCAGCATTTGCTACATAGCTGACTTGTGGAAAGAAGCTTTTATGATTGGATAACTGAAGCTGGAGCACAACCTGGACATATAACTTGGAAACATCTCAAATTTAATATTATTTCTGTCAGAGGTGATCTGACTGTGGAATTACTAACACCTAAAGAAATGTGCAGGATTGCTCTGCAATAATTAAAAATTAACTGATGACTCTTACACTGGTTAGACACTGATGAGATAGATACAGATTTTTCTTCCTTGCTATGCATCTACTCAGACCTTTATAAATGTATTTTACTGAGGTTCCCCTGTACCTGGGGAATCATGGCTGCCTCATTTTCTCACTTTTTATGTTTATGATATTTTACTTCTGCAGAAGATGAAACAGGTGAATCAGAATGCAGGCCCGTGCCTGTCACTGAAGGCACCTGGAGTGCTGGATTTCTTTACCTTTAAATAGCTCCTTGACTGAGTCCAACAGCTCTGTCTCACTTGTTGACCAGGTCCTGCTTCAGTGATCTCCTTTTTTGCAACCTGAGTGCCCCACGGAGGTGAAGGACACAGCCTGAGCTGGCTCCGTCAGTCAGCAGAACAAATGGGCTTGCTCTGCCGAACATCGGGCCATCTCGGATTCCACCTCTTTTATAGAGATGAGTGATGAAGAGGGGCTCGTTCCGCTTTGCCGCTGTATTAATACACATCAGGGGCCAGCTCCTGGCACTAAATCACGCTGCTGCATACATCTGTTATCAGACTCCTCACCAGTGTGATGAACAAGACTGCAGATAGAAGCTTCCTTGTGTCATTCTTTATAGGATTTTCCTAAAAGAATAAATAGCTCAAATCTCTGCCAACACTCTTCCCTGTCATTGTGATGAATTTAGCTTCTTTCTTAAACATGCAGCTACAAATCTTCCCCTGTCACCTCACCCCCCCACCAGCCTCAGAAAGTTTGGAGTTGAATTTGGCTGAAATCAGAAGATGCTAATAAAAGGCATATGAGATGTGGAAGCAATCTCTCTTCTAGCTGCAGGAATGAGAGAAAGGAGCTAGAGATATATTTATTTGGGAGCCAAACAAACTAAGTTCTTTCCATGTCTTCTCACATACTTTTGTAAATGTGATTATTTATGGGTTTTGGTAAAGCATTGTCCTGGTTTGAGCCAGGATTAAGCCAATTTACTTTTAACTGATTTTTTTTTCCTTCAGTGAGCTTTCTTTTAACTAGCAACTGTGTGTTCTGCTAGGCTGATAAGACACTGGAATGTTTTTGTAACTGCTGTGTCTTCAAGGTCGCACCTTCACTCTGCCGGCTCAGACACTAAGGGGAGATGTGTGACCCCCCCGTAGGAGGCTGAGTTGAACAGACAGCAAAATTGCCCAGAGATACTCCATTCCATATATCTACGTAAGCTCAGAGAAAGGTCAGAGATCACAGAAGACAACTTCCTTCCTTCTTCTCCCCTTCTCTTCTGTCCATGGCTGGTGTCCAGGGAGGACTCCGTCCATCCATCACCGTCAACCCTTAGGCCCGAGCTCTCCTGACCCTCATCACTCTGCGCTTTCGCCATCAGCATCTCCAGGATTCCATGGGACTGTCTTAATCAAAGGGGATTGCTGTGGGAGTTGCTGGGGGCTGGGGGAGGCGAGAGGCTTTTGCCCATACCTGAACATATTTGCATATAATTGTATATATTTTCTTATATCATTCATTAGTGTTTAATTAAAGCTGTCTAGTTTAGTTTTCAATCCAGCCAAGTCTCTCTCTTTTTCTCTCTCTCCTTCCCTACCTGGGTGGGAGGGGCAGGGGATCGAGAGCATTGTTGTCGGACCTGAGTCAAACAGTGACAAGCATCTTTTGTCAGAGACCCCTGAAGATCAATAAATGTGTATTACTGTAGCAGAAGTGCCTAGGTTTCTATTGTATTGTTACAGCTTTAAATTTCTGATATTAGTCCTGCCTTTGGAGGCTAACTGGCCTAAATACTGTAACTGAGATAGCTGCTAAAGAATAGCATTTTGGGAAGAGGCATGGCTGCTGCAAGCAACAAGAAGTGGGTAGGTAATTCAGAATGCATTTGCACTTTAGGAAGTGGCCATTACCAAAATTAAGCTGGACAAACTTATGCAAATGTTGAGAAAGTTAGTGCTATCCATGCTAGACAATTCAGGAGTATATGAGCCCTAAAGCATGAGGCTTTCACTGGATTAAGAACAAAAGTCTGGTGTAGTTTGACAGTAGAATAAGGAAATGTGGAGGAAGTAAGATGTACTGTACTGGATTAGACCAGAAGTTTATCCAATCCAGAGACCAACAGCCAGTATCTAGGGAAGAAGAAAGTCTGTAATGATCAAGGTCCTTTGAACTTCCAGTGATCTAAGACTTTGGGGGCTTCAAAAGGCATGGTTAGTGTCCTTGTGTTCAGTTACTTTCCATTGCAATGCAATAGATTTGGAATAATATCCACAGTGGCACAGTAGAGCTTGTCTAAGAAATACTGCATATTATTCTCATGGTAGTTATTATCTGGTTTGAAGGGGATGTGATGAAAACTATACTGTTTGTTTTCTGTTTGTCAGAATAGGCCACAAGCTTAGATGGTTTTGAAATAAACGGTGAACAATTCTCCAGCTTTACATTGATGTTTTTAGTGTTTATATGGTCCAGTCCCCTGTATATGTAACAGTGCACATGTTAGCTGGCATCCTATTCAGGTATTGCAGTGAGTCTAGGTTGAAAATCTGCATAAATAGATTTTTGTTTGCCTTGACACATATTTACACTTAGCTTGTGAAAAACAAGAATTTTTAAATTATGCTTCTAAAGCTGCTTATCTGAGAGCAGTCTGTTGAGTAATAGCAATTTGGTGAATTTTTTCTCTTATTTCTTGCTTATGTATTGTCTTTTTCATGGTGTGATGGCACCTAGTAGCAAGAAGCCTTTTGCAGTCATCTGTTGTTGTTTTTTTTTTTCCTTTTTATGAGCAAAGATGGAGAGCCTGAGTCAGGAGGCTGCTGGTAAGGAGCCCATGATGTAGTATTGATGGTGATTATTAGTTTAGGGACTTTGACTTACATTTTTTTGCATGTTTAACATGACCTTCAGATGGAGGACTTTGATGGGCTAGAGGTAAAACATGCAACATACTGTTATCAGCTGTGTTGTTGTGGCTGTGTGGGAGTGACTCATTGTTTTGGATGTACAGAAGCAGGATTGTTGGGGTTCCAGATCTACCAAGTGTGGAACCTTGAGCATTGAACCTTCTTTTCATTTAAAGTTCAAAACAATCAGTGTTCTAGTTAAGGCTTGTTATGGCCTCTTTATCCTTAATCCACTGCAGAGCAGCAGAAGTAACTTGTAATAAAAACACACAAACAACTATTATCTGTTGTGAGAATACAATGAAAAAAATGTGTTTTGAACTAAAGCACTTAAATGTTCAAAAAAATTCAGGTTGCTCCAAAGACTCCTGTGGTGATTACTTGTTTTTATCCTTCCCTGTTCTGCTTTTGAGGACTGAGTGGTTCAGAATACTGAGAAAGAGGAATAAACTCTCATATCTCCAGGTTTCTAGCAGTCCTTCTGGAAATTTGGGTGATTGTTTGGTTGAGTTATGCATCTGCAAATCTCTCTTGCTAATTATAGCCTGTCCCATTTTGAAGCAGTGGTTGTACTGAGAAAATGAAAGTGGATTCCAAACTAGCTGAGCAAGTAGCTTCTTGTAATAATATGCTGATTTACCATACTGGATATATGTGGAGGTTCATGGTACTGCCTTTACTGGGTAAAGAGGAGAGGTATATTTTTATTCTTAACTGAGCTTTGCAACCTGAAATTTGCCAAGCTTGCAGAGACACAGAACTGAACAGGGTTAATTGAGTCTTTGTGGAGACATCAAACTATCTTCAGTTGAATGATTATGAATTGATTCAGTTTAAGTATGGGACAGCTAAAGCTCTTGATTTTCAATAGGAACTTTGACTAAGGCAAGCAGTTAGTAAACTGAGAACTTGGAGTTCTGAATGTGCGAATCATTAGGGCAAAGGTATTAATGCTATCAAGAACTTACCTTTCAAAGAAATTTGGCAGGGGAACTTGAAGGAACTTGGTAAATAACACCTACATATAAGAAATTATATATATGAGGCATTTGCCATGAAGTCACTTTTTCTAACTTTTTTTTCATTGTCCTTTCCTACTCTCTTCCTCTGTTCCCCCTTTCCCACAATTTTATATTCCAGCAACTTTATCTGTCCACATGGATGCAGCAGAGTCAGAGCTACCAGCACCGCCATCCATGAGATCCCAGAACTCTGAGTGGACAGGAAAAACACCAGCAGCCGAGAAAGCCACTATTGCTCCCTCCAGTAACTTTTTTAAAATGCCACCAGAGAAGAGCCCTGGATACAGCTAAAAAGAATCATTGCAACTGTAGAAGATTGCCGGATTGTGGAAGTGTTTGACTCTGGCATGTGTCCTCACCAAATGTCTTGTTTGGCAGTAGTGATACCTGCAGTAGCAGAGCATGATGCGTGCCATCATCCTGACCCACCTGAGTGCCCCACATACCTAAATCATGTCTGTGAATCCGTGTTTTAAAAAAGGTGATCAGTGTTGGCACCGCAGTGGCTTTTAAAAATGTTCTTTCTCTTGCTGTATTTATTATGTATTCATCTCCTTCCCTGATGCCAGCTCATATGTGCTGGGTCACGTACAGGTTCTTCCGGGTTTTCAGATCTTTATTCACCCCCTGGAAATGTTTGTTTGTGCATTTGACTTTTTTTGGGTGAAAGTCCCACTACAACTCAGGGAGGCAAAAGTCTCTCCCTGCTTTCTTCCAGACCAGGAAGATTTCTTGGCTGAGGAATGAGGAGGGAATGCAAACAAGTCAAAATGTGGAAACTGAATTCTGTATCAGCAGAATATTTTCAGACCATGTGCTAATGGACTCGAATCACGTTGCTTCTAGTGAAGCAAGTATGGTGCTTGTCCATTCAGAAATTGCCATTGGCTCACTGGCAGCATGGTCCATTAGACCTTTTCCTTTTTCCTTGTTCTCAATGTCTTTAATCTTGCTTGTGTATTGCATGTTCTTTCCTAAATCCCCTGTTGGATAAGGATTTGGGAGAACTACTTTGACAGAAATGTGCAAGCTCTCCTGTAAAGGAACCTGGGCCCTTGGAGTATGGTAGAGCCTATACAGAACCTCAATTTTTTTGGTGTATAAATTTAAAAAATGACCTGGATTTCTAAAGGGTGCTTGCCATTGAAGTTGACAAAAAAAAATCATTATCAGCTGAGTTCAGAGTATTCTGGTTATTGATCAGACCACTTCTGTCTCATGTTTTCCCTCTCTTCAAAAAGTATTATCCGCTTTATCTGCTAGAGGTGTCTTGTACTTTACTCCACAGCACACACAGAAGAGATTCTTCTCATGGCACTACCATTTGGTCCCCTATTACCTTCTCTGTTGCAGAATATATGGAGTGTGTTTTCTCCCCTCTCTTTTCTTGAATTATTGTTCACACTTGACTTACTTTTCTTTAATTACTCTGCCTGGAACTTATTTTGGGCTGTTTTTTTAGAATATATTACCTTCATAGCATATGTCAAGGAACAGTTGGCCTCCTGGCTTCTTAAGTCCTTCAAAAACAGGGTCTGTTTGTATGCATAGAACTCCTTCTGCTTTCCTCACTGGGTGGAGCTTTCAGACAGTACCATGTAAGCTTGTAAAATTAATTTTGAATGTGAAGGTGCAGCTAGCAGTCTTAAGTAGATAACAACATTTGCATGAGTTTAGTGGCTTTGCAGTGTTCTCCTTATAAATCAAATAGCTGAGGGAACAGATTTGATTGTGAAGACAGAAAGTGGTGATTTATACTTAACTCTGTATTAAAATGTTAAATGGTCATAACATGCACAAAACAAAAATTGAATGACTCACTAAATCGTGATAGACAAATACAGTTATATTACAGACACACCATCCATGTCTGATCCCCTAATACGTACTTATTCGTGGGGAGAGATCCAAATTGGATTTATATTTTGCAGCTCAAGCAAACTGTCAGATCTGACCATGTAAATCCCACTCAAAACTTTTTATTTATTTATTTTTTGGTGCTGGTAGATTTTAGAACTAATTAGAACAGGGGAAGCCTTTTTACCTTGCTGCAGGAGTACAGAGGTCAGTTTGGATTACAGGACAAGCTTTAAGGGTTTTGTGGAGAGAGGAGCGTTCCTGTTTTAATATAGTCATTGGATTGTCTTATTTTGTACTTTCTTTGAGAAATGGTACTTAAGAGGTAGCACAGGAAGTCTCAGCACTGGAGGGCCTGTAATCTAGAACACACAAAGAAAAGGTAAACCTAGAGCAGTGAAGAGTAGTAGATGCTGTAGTACTCATGAACACAGTGAAGGGGAAAGGTGGTCACATTCTCATGGCAAACCTACCCATAAATTTTAGGATTGGAAGCCATGTAACTTAACTTGCAGGCTGTCTCAGCGACACGGTGTGGTTCCCTAAAACTGCATTTATGCAAATGAGTGTTTTTAATCTCATGAAGGATCCTCCACAACCTCTCTTGGTTTGGGTCTGTTAAATAGACTCAGATTACTGAGCATGCAGCTGAAATGTTAAGCTTTGGCTGTTGTAGTTTTCTTTTTAAAACCAATTCTGAAATATGTTGCTACATTCCAAATATTGTTCAAAGTAGTTCTATTTTTTCTGTGGTGTCAGGACAATTTAAAAACTTTTATAAGAGAGGTGTTTGAGGTATTAGGGATCCCTATCAACTGCCCTCATCTTGCTCATTGCAGCAAGGGATAGGGGGAAGGTTACCAGATTTCATGTGTTTTTTCTCTGGGGGCATGGAAAGAGAATTTATCAGATTTTCCTATTGAGGTCAGTAGCACTGTTCATCTGGTTAAGCTCTTGCTTAAGTTGTAAGCTCCTAGGAGGTCTTCCTCGCCTTTAAAAGTTGAATGTACATGTGGCAGTACTGAAGAGTAAGTGTAGCAGGCCTTGTCTTGATAAGCCATACTTCTTGCCCTGAAGTTCCAGTGAGGTCTAGAAAGGCTTAATACTCAGTTTGGTAGGTACTGAAGCAGTGCAAATTACAAGAATGAAGTTTCTAGCTTTATAGATTTATGATTTTAAGGTAAGGTACAGTAAAGAGTGAAGAAGGCAACAAAACAGTAGCTGAAGAGAAACTCGAAAGAGGCTGGGACTAGTGCTACTGAATGATAGATTGGCTTCATGGTTGTGATATGCAGAGGTGTGTCTTGCCAGCATTCCTGAATAATGACATTGAGGCAGTTAGTGCTCTCCTTTGAAGTGTAGAAGCTCATGCTGTTACTTTGTGGCTGTTGCAGAGACCTGCTCCAGTGAGCAGAGGATGAGAAGGGAAATTGAAGGAAGGGCTAGAAGAAGAGTGATAGAGTGACTTTTTTAATTGTAACCCCTTCTGCACTGAATCATAGAATCATAGTATGGTTTGAGTCGGAAGGGACGTTAAAGATCATCTAGTTCCAACCCCCCTGCATGGGCAGGGACACCTCCCACAAGATTAGGTTGCACAGAGCCCCATCCAATGGGCTCTCAAGCACTTCCTGGGATGGGGCTTCCACAGCTTTACTGGACAACCTGTTCCAGTGTCTCACCACCCTCACACTAAAGAATTTCCTCCTAATGTCTAATCTAAATCTCCTCTCTACCAGCTTTAATCCATTACCCCTTGTCCTTTCACTACAAGCCCTTAAAATAAGGCTTTCCTACAGCTCTCCTGTAGGCCCTCCTTCAGGTACTGGAAGGCTGCTATAAGGCTCCCTGGAGCCTTCTCTTCTCCAGGCTGAACAACCTCAACTCTCCCAGCCTGTCTTCACAGGAGAGGTGCTCCAGCCCTCGGATCATCTTTGTGGCCGTCCTCTGGACTTTCTCCAGGAGCTCCATGTCCTTCTTGTGTTGGGGGCTCCAGAATTGGACACAGTACTCCAGGTGGGGTCTCATGACAGCCAAGTTAGAGGGGGAGAATCACCTCCCTTTACTTGCTGGCCATGCTTCTTTTGATGCAGCCCAGGACACGGTTGGCTTTCTGGGCTGCAAGTGCACATTGCTGGCTGATGTTTTCGGCTTCTTGTCCACCATCACCCATAAGTCCTTTTCCTCTGGGCTGTTTTTGATTCATTTTCCACCCAGCCTGTATTTTTGCTTGGAAATGCCCCAATGCAGATGCAGGACCTTGCACTTGGCCTTGTTGAACTTCATGCAGTTTGCACGAGCCCACCTCTCAAGCCTGTCAAGGTCCCTCTGGATGGCATCCCTTCCCTCCAGAGTGTCAACCTCACCACACACTTCAGTATTGTCAGCAAACTTGCTGAGAGTGCCCTCAATGCCACCATCCATGTCACCAACAAAACTGTTAAATAGCACCAGTCCAAGCACCGACCCTTGGGGAACACCACTTGTCACATCTGGACATCGAGCTATTGATCATCACTCTTCGAGTGCCACCATCTAGCCAGTTCCTTACCCAATAAGTGGTCCATCCATTGAATCTGTACCCTTCCAGTTTTGATACCAAGATGTCATGCGGGACATTGTCAGAAGATTTGCACAAGTCTGGGTAGGTGATGTTGGAAAGAAGATGCTACAAAAAACAGTGCATGTGCCTGGATGTCAACAAGGAGTTGAAGTGGACAAGAATTTTGTTTTGTTGTCTTGATGAACAGTTCTGTAACCAGAGAACATTTCAGGGAAGCAAAAGTGAAGCCATCCACCAGTCATAGTCTGCTAGGAGACTATCAAAGGAGGACAAACTTCTGTTTGAAGTATTGTGGTACTGCATTACTGTGTCTGTGTCCCCTGCATTCAGCCATTCCAATCCATGTTTTGTGGCTGAGACGTCCTGCTTTTGCACCATGAAATATGGGAAAAATACAGCAATGGTTCTTAGGGCATGAAGCATAAAGGGCCACTTGCTATGCTGAAGGCAAGACAAGACTATCTTAGGCTATTCACTTTTAGCCAGTACTCAGCAGAGAGAACATGTCTTAATTATACCAAAGCACCTCATTCTTAAGAAGCAAACTGTGCTACGTGTAGGGAGACTGAACTGTCACCAGTGCCTGGAGACATGGCTTGCCCTCAGTCAGGTGACATAGGGACTTATGTTGTGGAGATAGTGGGAACCTTCAACATCCTGATCAACTTTAATGTGGGTGAAATACCTTCCAAGTTGCAAACATGCCTATTAGTGTGACTCCACTGAGTTGACAAAGATGTGTTGCCTTGCATTACCAGGAAAAGAGAATTCTTGTACCAACTCAAAGAATTGGTAAAAGTGGAAAATGGGCTGGCACAGCCTGTTACATCAGAGAAAGATGCAAACCCTGTATACCTGCAGACAATAATCA